TTAAAAGCATTCCAAAGAAAAGTCAGTAGCTCTTTATGGTTAGCAGAGAGAGAGAAAATCAAGATGGCCACTGGTATGGCTGGGAGAACAGGGGCACTGCTGAAGGAAACAGGGATGCTGAAAAGAGTGGATGAGGGAAAGTCTAAGGTTTGTTCTTAACACTATGGGTCATTGCGGTCACCTGGAGGCTTATTACCGGAGACTAGCAACTGACTCAGATGTTTTAAGTTACAAAAAATATATATTGCTCCATGGAACTGACAAGTCCTGGGTGAAAGTTTCAGGTTCATCTCAATATAGCTATTCAAGTGATATCAGCAGGAATCTTTTCTTCTCTCCCAAATAGAGGTCGGAAATGGCCATAAGCATTGGCTCCTGTCCTGCCAGCTGAGCACAGGTCCTGGGATGCCTATACTGGCCCACTTGTGCATTACTGACCTGATCTCTAATGGAACAGATTGGGGGTCACATGTGATATGGCCCCCCATCCAAACCCATTCATGGGGAAAATGGTTCTCTAAGGGAAAATTGGAGGTCAGTCCACAAAGAGGGACTACAACTGAGCAGCAAAAACAATAATGTTTAATAAACATTATATTCCACTTCTTAGCTGTTTGAGATCTACACAGACCTTCCTAGGTAATTTTTTAAATAGTTCGCTCTTTATCTTAATGTAACCATTCCTCACAAGACTTAAAGCATGACTGTCTCATCTCTGGAAGGAGCCACTCCACATCCTCAGCCCCAATTTAAGACCTTATGAAGGCCCATCTATTTGGTTAGGTATCAAACTAGCCCCTCAAGGTCTTTCAGTTTGTGGCCAGACTACTATGATAGAGGGAAAATTAAACAGCTGAAAGAACAGAAAGTCTCCTAGTTGAAGAGGCAAGGGGAGGACAAACATTCCCTCATGGTCCACACCCTTGGCTGAATGGCAAGGAAGAGGTCTCCTGTCTTCCCCACCAGCTGTTCTGCTTCTGCTATCTCTGTGGCCCCATATGAAAGGGCATTAAGTGGTTCAGGTGTAGGGGAGATGAAGGCACAATCTCAGAGTTGAGTAATCTTGCTTTTGGTTTCCAGGTTCGTAGGATTTCTGGCAATAATAGTTCCATTAATCATTAGGAGGCTTCTCAGTCAATTTGCATTTGGTCATCCCTGGAGCTAATAGCCGAAGCTAAAGACTTTGTTGAAAGTTAGAATTCTTTTTTTTTGGTACCAGGGATTGAACTCAGGTCCTTGTGCTTGCAAGGCAGGCCACCGAACTGCTGAGCTAAATCCCTGGCTCGAAAGTTAGAATACTTGAATGGAGTCCCTAGTGGTGGTGGTGGTGAGGGAGGAGAGGGTTGTCTCTTAGCAACAGGCCCAGGTGCTCTGCCCATCCCAGGAAGCCAGGGTTCTGGGCCCTCTCTGTAGGCCTCTGCCACAAGGCAGTACAAATCCCTAGACAGCTGGGAGGCAAAGCTCTCTTCCCCTTACTTCTCAGGCTACATCTCAACAAAAGGCTGCTTATAATGGAAACTTCTGCACTGCTGGGAGGGCACAGCAGGGCCTGAGGAGTCAAGAGGCTGTCAGGCCTCAGGCTGCTCTTCTTTTGAGTTTCCAGCCTCCTTCTCTTTGCTTGAACTGACTTTAGCTAGAAGCACAGAACTGGCTCTTAATTATCTGACTCTCAGCCATATTGGGTTACTGGCCTCAGGCAGAAAGGGCCTCTCCTGGCAAGCCATTTTCTTCCTCTGCTTTCAGATGAGCCCCTGTCAACCAGAGTGTGTTTCTTTCTTGCTGGACCTGACTGAGGCTACAGGAGAGATCGTACTGCCAACACCCTGACATTTTCCTATAAGCCTCCTAAAATTTCAATCTTGGTAGGTACATGGCCTCAGCTCCAGGGGCCATGAGAAATAGTTTAGTCAGCTGCTTTGCTGCTGTATGATGGGTTCACCAGCTCCTGAGTGGGCAGTGAGGAAGCCATACTCTTATGCCAGCCCTCTTAGTTCAGCTAATTCCCTTTTAGAACTTATTTGAAAAGAAAATTTTGTCTCTAATTCCAATTTCTCGAGTAGGACTTCTTTCCTGATGTAAATACAGACCAACTGTTAACTACAGATAGGTTAGGCAAAAAAAGAAAAAATTAGTTCACAGGCCAGGGGTTTAATGTCTGTAAGAAATTCTCTGTCTCAGTTCTACTTTTCTGAGTTGGCTTCATTCCCAGGTGGCTCCTCCCAAAAAGATAAAAGAGCCCTACTACTCTGGTCCTCTCCATCACCTTAGAAACTTGAGCCCAAGGAAGATGCTTCTTAGTAGTTCCAGAGCAGACTTGGGGTTCATTGGCTTAACTAGGTACCTATCCCAAGACTCTGATGAGTCGGGCAAGGTCACAATCCCCAGGCTACCTGGACAAACTGAGAAAGTGGTCAAGGAAGATGGTTCCCCAAGGTCAGAACAGGGTGCAGATACTATGAAGAGGACTGGGTACTGGGTGAAAAAGGGAAGAGTTATCTACCCATACACCCATGTGAAAATGGTGAAAGAATTCAGAGATAGAGCTGACAGCAGCTTCCAGGTGTGAATCTGTGGGAGTGAACCACACTGCTTGGGGGAGGGGAGTGGAGGAGAAACCCCACCAAGAGAGTAATTTTTGGAAGGCAGCACAAATAGGGAGTCACAGAACCCAGAGAAAAACTGAAACATGGTAGCAGCATTGTGGGTGTCTAAGAAGATGGGGGGGTCAAGAGTATCAGCCAAGGGACCAAGGAAATGAAGACCCTTGATGTAACTGGATTATCCAGTTAGTAGATAATAATCTAGGATCCTCAGGAGCACAATGAGAGCAGAGCGGGTATTGGAGCAAAAGGACAGGAGTTAGGAAGAGGTTAGAGACCCCACAAGGAAGGAAAGGACAGGAAGCCAGAGATGGGTATAGAGGGGCAGCAGGAGTTGAGAGTAAAAGGGGTAGGGTGCCATAATGGGTAGGACTTGAACCAGAAAGAGTGTAGGAAAGACAGTTAATACTGCCTTTGGAGTGAAAGTTCAGCAGGGACACTTATTGAAAGCCTACCTAACCTTTTCCAGGTCTGCAAAGAGGACCTCGGTGGCTGGAGTAGCAGGGACAGTTGGATGTAGTGCAGAGATGGGACCTACAGTGACACATATAAGTTTCATTGGGTACCATGACATCTTTGTTACTGCAACATGGTACCAAAGTTTAGCTTGTGTGATGGGTGAGGTTTGCTAGAAATGAAAGTAAGCAGAAAGTAAGCATCTTCTTTTTTGTTTATTTGTTTTGTTCTTGTTTTCGTTTTTGAGACAAGGTCTCACTATGTAGTTCAGGCTGGCCTTGAACTCATGACGATCCTCCTGCCTCAGCCTCAGGAGTGCTGGGACTGTAGGCATGTGCCATCACACCCAGCAAGCATCTTCTGTTTAAGGATTTTCTTAGATGCAAAAAACATTAAGTACATATAAGGCACTAATCTTGGGTCCATCTTGGTGATTGTCTACATAGGTAAGCACTACTCAGGTCAAGATACAGACCATTTCTGGGGCTGGGGATTTAGCTCAGTGGTTCTGCTGCCTGCCTTGCAAGTGCAAGGTTCAGAGTTGATCCGTGGTACCCCCCCCCAAAAAAAAGCGGAGTAAGATACAGAACATTTCAGCATCATAAAAGATCCCAATCCATATATCCCTGAAGGATAACCTCTACTCCAACTTCCGTCATCAATTTTGTCTGTTCTGGAACTCTGTCTCTATGGAATCCTGCAGTATGCGCTTTAGGATATAACTTCTTTCCTGCAACATAAAATTAAATGAAATCATCCATGTTGTTGCGCATATAAACAGTTCCTCTTATTAGGGGATAGTTATCCATTATGAATATATCACCATTTATCCATTCTATTATTGATGAGCACTTGGGCTGTTTCTAGGTTAGATCCATTAAAAATAAAAGTATGCAACGCCTTAAAATTGTTTAAAAAATAATTTTCACTATCTTACTCTGATACATGTACAGGCCCTCATACCAGGTACCAACTAGAGCAGGCCACCCCTTCTGGGCTATCTGGTCATTGGTCACCCCTGGCCCCACCATTCTGGGCACGAGTTTCCTGGGAAAATCAACTTTCCCCTTGTGTGTGTGGCAGGGGAAGACAAGCACCAAGCCTGGGAGGGAGGGATGCGTGGTATACCAGCCTCCTAAGAATTACTCCCTCTCTTCTAGCCACCTCGGCCCTAGCCACAGGCCCCTGAGCCTTCCTGATCCCTCAGCGGGACTCACCTGCGGCCCCC